TTTCTCTGGTGTAATCTGTGTTGCATGGGTCAAATATTTCTCGGACCTCATTTACTAAACCTGATCGAACCATTTTATCGACTCTGTGTGACATGTATTTATATAAAACTGGTGCACACATGTCCACCCATAGGAAACAACAATCATACTTGGATTTAAACCAGAATTTAGGGTTTGAAACCAAAGACTCGATGTATGAGTTGGATCCGCCAACATGATTGGGAGTTTGTCTTTATGGAGAATCGATCCATTGCATGTGTAGCCATGAGGGAGAAGTCTTTAGCCGTTTAGTCAACATGTTGACCTACTATGCCTAGCAAGTGGTGAGGAATCCCACATTGCTCTTCTTTTGTCATCTTGTTGGTCACTACGTCCAACCCTTAGTAAACTTGAATCTTATTTGAATTTATTATTTCTACTTGGAAAGCATTGGCTAGGTCAATTGAGAGAAGAGACTTTCCGGTGCCAGTTGCCCCCAATACAAACACCACCTTGTCCCTTTGATGCTTCCACGGTTTATCACTTCTTTTCGTAACAACCTTGTTGGCATTTTTAGTAATGTTTGTGCTTGTTTCAACATTTGCATGGGATGTGATCTCATAGTTTCCAGCCTGTTCCAATAAGTATGTATGTCAATACAACAACTTGTATATCAATAATTGATTAATTGGTATATATATAATGCTTGAGGAAATTAAAATTATCATAAAACATATGCATATTAGTAGTATAGGAGAGGTTGCATGCACAAGTATTTATAATTTATAAAGTGTTAAGACAAATAACCTTTGTCTTATTAAAAATTGAAAAGGAGAATAAGGTAGTAAGAGCAAAGTACTTGGTCCTACATCACTAGTGGGGGTTCAAATCGTAAAATATATACAAGTATTCATTTTATTTTATTAATTTAATTAGTTAATTTTACAAGAATTTACTTTCGTGACATATGAACATATTGTATAAGAAATTGTTGAATGCATATATTTGCTCCATTCAATGTTTGTCGACTCGAATGTGTCTCTCCGACCCAAACCTGATGAAGAGTGATCTTTCACCGCTATTTTGGTCGGGTTGCGTTTCAAATCAGAGAACTGCTTGAAATTCTATTCATAGCAAGGCTAGTACATCTTCATTTTAAATCACCAAATCCAATCCATTTTAAACTCAAACAACCATTCAAATTCTCTCCATATTTTAATCCTAAGTCCAAACCCGTATTCAGGCTTTCGCATCATTTTTACCAAAGACTAATCCACTCAAAACAAGCTTTAATCCTAATCCGAGCCCTTTGAAATAGTCCAGAATGAGAAAACGCGTAGAAATGGTAGCTAAAAGATCAAATCACATTAGAAAATCGGCTAAAAATTGAATTATGGAATTTTCCTTAAATTAGCGATTGAAGCGTCATGACATTTTTTGTCAAGCAGCTATGCCAGTAAACAGTATGGCACGCTAATTTCCTAACGTATCACAACAAAAGATTTTTATTCCTTTTTTCGTACTTGTAATTTCAGTGTCTAAATTGTATACTTTCATAAAATTCTTTTCCAACATGTCACGTCAGTTTTTGACGTATAATGTGTAACACCCCGTACTTTTATGCAGTTTATAAGTTATTTAAGCATTTATATTATTTTATGGCATTGGAGAAGCTTGGCTTGCTTTGTGTGAATGTGGTTCACGCATGAACCCAAAAGAAAGAAAAAATAAGAAAAAGGAAAAGTGAAAAGAAAGAAAAAGAAGAAAAGAAAAAGGAAAATAAGTACTTACATCCAAAAATCTTTTGTAGAAAAATAGCTAAGATAATTTCATACTCTATACTATTCACATTATTTCCTCTTATTGTAGAAAAATAGCTAAGATAAGTTCATACTTTATTTTAGTCAACTTATTATTATTTTTATTAACTTACTATATCTGAACTTTTTTTTCTTTTCTAATTTTATTTTATAAAAAACTATTTATATAAAATATAAGATAAAACAAACAAGCCCAAGGTCAAATTAATGGAAATTAATACATAATTGAAATTTCTTTCTAAAAAAAACGTAATTGAAATTTAGAATGCACATGCACCCAAATTAGTAGTATTCGTAAACCGTAATTACTTATTTGAAATACAGAATGAACTTACACCTAAAAAGTAGTAGTATTCATAAATAGTAATTACTAAATTGAAATAAAGAATGCACATGCATCTAAAAAGTAGTAGTATTCATAAATATTTATACATTTTTTTGACATAGAATTGTAATATATTTGATAGTAGAGAATTTTATTTAAAATATTTGAATAAGATTAAATAGGAAAATAAATAATAAAATTAGGGAAAAAAATAGAAAAAACAATAAAAGGAAAAAAAAAATGATATGCCGCATTCTAAGACGAAATCCTTTGATCTTGCACAAAAATATTAACATAGAGCAGTTTTAGCCTTATTGTTTCCTTTATACCCTATAATTTTTGAGTTCTTTGCTCAATACCGATTGGCTAAGGCTAGTTACTCACAACTAAATATTTGCTTCAAACTTCAAAGTACTACTTAGTCTTAAGAAGTTACGACTTTACGAGTAGCTTAGAATTTATTTAGCATATATTCTCTAATTATTGTATATATTTTTATTTAGCTAGTCAATATTTACAATAATAAAGAGGAAGTCCCTGTTTATCTCCTTGATAAACAAAATTTGTTTATCAAGTGGCAAAATCGTAAATAAATCAACAATTTTTACTAGTCATCATGGTATTTTGGTAAATAAATAAAAAACAAAATTTGTTTATCAAGTGGCAAAATCGTAAATAAATCAACAATTTTTACTAGTCATCATGGTATTTTGGTAAATAAATAAAAAAAAACAATGGGACCCATATATGATCAAAAAATTGTTGGTTTATTTACATTTTTGCCATTTTGTCTAATCATCATGATATTTTGGTGAATAAATCAAAAACTGTTGGACCCATATATGACCAAAAGTTGTTGATTTATTTACGTTTTTGCCATTTGATAAACATATTTTGTTTATCAAAGTGATAAACTTGTATTTTCTCAATAATAAAGATATATACAATAATTGTAGGGATTCAATGCTAAATATAATCTAACACTTAGGAATGAGCAAATAGCTTTAACTAGTATATGTAAGGAGTAGTATGTATTGAACTATTGACTATTTAACTTCTCATAGTAACTCGTTTGCACAAGCTCGCAACTACACAAGTGACACACACAAATTGTCATTAATTTTATATAATATAATCTTATATTCTTATTTGTTTGGTGAACATCATATTTTTAGTAGAAATAATTTAGAAAGAAGTATGTAACTATATAACTATATATCAATAAGGTGGTCTAAATTGAATTTAAGGTGATTTGAAATCGGGTCAGGTCAATAACAGGTCAAGTTGAGTTCGAAATGGGTCAAAAACAGGCCGGGTTGAATTTGGGCCGGGTCAATCACAAGTCGAGTTGATTTCGGGTTGGGTTAGTAATAGATCGTGTTGAATTATGGTCGGATTAGTAACCAGTCTGGTCGAATACAAGTTGGGTTACATTCGGGTTTTGATGGGTTAAAATAGGTTTGGGTTAATTTCGATTCCAGTCGGGTTCAGTTCAGGTCAATAATTTACGGGATATATCTAGGTCGGGTCATCTCCAGGTTGGTTCATGTTTGGGTTCGGGTCACCATTTTTCTCGGGTTAACTCGGGTTTAGGATTGGTTTTAGGTTGGGTCATATTGGGTTCGGGTCACCATTATTCCGATTTCATAAAAGTCGGTTCATCCCCACACCCATGAGTCAATTCATTTTAGATTCGGGTTTAGGTAAATTTTTCGGGTTCGGTAGCCTTTTTACAGCTTTAAACCTCATCTGCAACTTTAGGCAAAGTTTAGGATCTGATTTTTATATTAACTCTAACTTTTAACCTTTTTTGGGGTAATTTTAAACTTGACATGATTTTATATTATATAGAAAATGAAATAAGTTTTATAAGGGTGTTACTGCAAATTGAGATTTGATTTTTACTTCTTTTAAGAGGGTAAACTTTATAGATGCAGCTTAGATTTTTATTTAAGTTGGGTAACTTTCATTTATACTCAGGTAACTTTTGTTTTTCTCAGTACAACTTTACGAGAAATGTACAAAATTTATTGTACACCTTTGTAGACACCTAATAAATGTGTGTCCCCAAACAAAACCCGATGATAAATTATTCTTCACCCTATTTGGACTGGGTTGCGTTTTGGATCAATAAATTGCTTGAAATTGTATTGTTAGCCCATCCCCTTTTTATTTTAAAGTCCATTAGCCATTTTAATTTAAGCCCAAACCTTTTAATTAGGCCTTCCTTTATTTATTTTAGTCCAATTAGTTTTCTTTCGGCCTATATTTTTACTGAAGCCCATATATTTAAACATTGTCTTTTTGATTAAATTTTGTATCATCATCCCGACTCCTCCTTTTGTGTATCATGACCACATGGAGTTAACATCTCATTCATTGTGAATGAGGTGTAACCTTCATGGATTAAATTGTTGTTGTCTTTGATTTTGTCGCTTTCGTGGTTGTCTTTAATGATTCATGAACAATTTACAAGTTTCGTACAAGACTTGTTGGCAGCTTCCTACTTTATCCCTTGTCCCTAATTGATATAATATCAAGTTCAATTCACCAATTTCTATGATTTGCCAAGCATATTAACGCATGCATGCTAAGGCAGACTGATTTCTGTATATGATACCTATAATCCGATTTTATAAAAGTTTGTTCTTAGCTTGCTAGGTAGTTAGTGACAAATTAAATATACCTTATCAAAATATATGGAGTACGTTGAACTAGCTCAACAAGATATTACACGAAAAAATTTATTTTTTTAAAATTATTTATTGGAATTCAATAAGCTAAGTACTTTGTACGTATGTGTTATATTATTTCTCTATATTAGACGGGATATAATTATTTTTAATACAATGATTATATGTGCAGTAGTAACTAAACCACAGCAACAATACATCTTTTTCTGTATTTTCATATTGGAGAGCTATTTTCTCTTCCCACAAAGGCACAACTACAAAAATCATTTAATATGAAAGCTAATTTAATAACCAACTATTCAAGCAATAAACAAATTATTTTAGACATATATGCACGTACTATACTAGCTTAATTAATTAGTTTGTAACAATCATATGATTATTATTCCCAATCATACTCCTTGTTACTACTCTTGTAGAGTAATTGGACTCCAAATCAATGTTATTTTTAAGAAAACGGGTCAAAACTTTGATTGATGGTCGGGTCACCGTTTTCATCCAAGTTTCATCAGCAACTTCTTTGTCACACTTCCTAAATACTTCAGTAGCATCAATTCGATTTATATTCCACCCTTTCACGTACTTCAATCGGTTGATATTTTGCAATTGTTTGTTTGCTAATATGCATGTGTTACCCTTTATTTCATTTATGGAACAATGGAGTTGTTCGGCCCGACTCGATTCATCTAAATAATGCTCAGTCCGAAAATATGTGTCTAATTCTGGCACTCCAATTGCCCGTCGTATTCCTCTGGTGTAATCTGTGTTGCATGGGTCAAATATTTCTCGGACCTCATTTACTAAACCTGATTGAACCATTTTCTCGACTCTGTGTGACACGTATTTATATAAAACTGGTGCACACACGTCCACCCATAAGAAACAACAATCATACTTGGAATTAAACCCGAATTTAGGGTTTGAAACCAAAGACTCGATGTATGAGTTGGATCCGCCAACGATTATTGGGAGTTTGTCTTTATGGAGAATCGATTCCACTGCATGTGTGGCCATGAGGGAGAAGTCTTTAGCCGTGTAGTCAACATGTTGACCTACTATGCCTAGCAAGTGGTGAGGAATCCCACATTGCTCTTCTTTTGTCATCTTGTTGGTCACTACGTCCAACCCTTTATAAACTTGAATCTTATCTGAATTTATTATTTCTGCTTGGAAAGCATTAGCTAGGTCAATTGAGAGTCGAGACTTTCCGGTGCCAGTTGCCCCCATTACGAAGACCACCTTGTCCCTTTGATGCTTCCACGGGTTTATCACTTCTTTTCGTAACAACCTTGTTGGCATTTTTAGTAATGGTTGTGCTTGTTTCAACATTTGCATGGGAAGTGATCTCATAGTTTCCAGCCTGTTCCAATAAGTATGTATGTCAATACAACAACTTGTATATCAATAATTGATTAATTGCTATATATATAATTCTTGGGGAAATTAAAATTATCATAAAACATATGCATATTAGTAGTATAGGAGAGGTTGCATGCACAAGTGTTTATAATTTATAAAGTGTTAAGACAAAAAACCTTTGTCTTATTAAAAATTGAAAAGGAGAATAAAGTACTAAGAGCAGTCCTACATCACTAGTGGGGATTCAAATCGTAAAATATATACAAGTATTTATTTTATGTTATTTAATTAATTAATTCAATTAGTTATTTTTACAAGAATTTGCTTACGTGACATATTAACATAGTGTATAAGAAATTGTTGAATGCATAAACTTTCTATTCACACAGAATTTTTTTACTTTCATAGAGAGCATGCATATGAATTGCGAAAATTTATAACTTAATTGTACATTCTACTTATGTTTCCGAAAGTTATTGAAGAGGAAGTGTTGATGTAGTAATTAAGTGTACGGGAAAGGTTAATAAAATAAGAGAAATAGGAAGAGATTGGGTAAAAAGAAAAAAATATACCCATACAAAGAAAAAAAGACTGAGTGGAAAGACATATAAGCATTTTGTAGGGCAAAAGAAATAAAGAAGTAAAAGAAGATTTTGGTTTCAAAAAAAAAAAAAAAAAGTAAAAGAAGATTTTTAATAATAGAATAAAGTGAAAATGATAACAACATTTAAAAACAAAAATTGTTAAGAAAGTGAGGTAATATAAAACAAAATAAATAAATAAATAAATAATGAGCTTTAAATTTTATTTATTTATTTTTTTAAGAAGTAAAATACAAGTATTTGATTAAAATCATAAGACAATAATAGAATACATGATTTACTATATATCAGTAGAGGAATATGATAATTTGCATGCATGGACGTAAGTAAAAACCTACCTTTAAATTTGTTGAAGAACACCTAGAATAATGGGAAGATACAAGAACCAAATGATAATATATGATTAGAATTTAGAAATGGTATGAACTAGATGTGTTACGAATGTAAGTATATATAGGTGAAGGTGAGGATTGAGTTGAGAAAATGGCGGTGATATTGAAACACAGCTCATATTGCAAATGACCGTGTCCTTTGGACTTTCTTAGGAGTCAACTCAACTTGGGGCCCAAAGTGCATTATTCCAGGTACGGTGTTCGTCTAATAATAGATAGGACTATAAAGTACCTTACACTAGGTTGTGCTCGGGTCGGTGGGTTGGTTGGTTAGGGTCGGGTCGGGTTGTGTCATTGGATTGGGTCTACTTCGAGCTTTACTCATACGAAGTATTACTTATTCTATCATCACTTTCTTTGAACTCAATATTCACTATAGCGGTTTTCTTTGTAGCTGACCACATCGTATGACTGACATACACCAAAACACTGACCAGATAACCCCTTATCAAGCAACCCCAGACCAAGTAATAACCTCGATCACACGATGTGGCCAGACACATATGTAACTTTGTGTATTCACTGTTTATAATATAAGTCCCTTTACCTATTAAATGTGAAAATAATTTAACCCTTCCATCATCTAGCTTCAATAAATAGCAAAGTAACTCACTACAATTATAATATCCCACTATCAAAAACATATACAGAATAACATAAAAGAAGTCAATTATTTTGTATAAAATCTCACACCGATTAAAATAATACGTCCATTTAGAGATGGATGGAGTATTGGCCGATAATTTTTATCCTTTGTATGTAAATAATACTCTGTTACCAAAGTGAGTGATTCACAAATGTTATACTCTAGTTCTCCCCTCTTGCTGATAAAAACATGTGTATAGTGAATGGGTGCATTTTCAAACAACATATAGAGTTCATAAATTAATAAGTCCATCCCATCGGAGTTTATTTATACTTTTAATTTTTTTTTATTTTTTTTTTTATTTTTATTATTTTTTTTTTTTTAAGAAAAACGGATGGTGTGCCTATCCCGGGGAGACCTCACAAGAACTATAGTTCTTCCAAACTTGTTCAAAACCAAAAGGCACTATACGGGCTAAATGATGAGCTACAGTATTCTCATCCCGTTTAACATAACTCCAACGATAGAATTAAAAGAATTACAAGATTTCAACACATCTAGCAAATTATCAAGATCAATGAGAAAGATTGAGCCCTTGCTAAGACTTCCAATCAATACCTCGCAGTCCGACTCCACTACAACATCCCTAAGGCCATAGCATTTTGCGAGTCTCGTGGCCATTGCAACAGCTTTGCACTTTGCTATGATGGGCTGCCAGAATGCTTTTGATCGTGTGGTCACTGCAAATAAAACCTCCCCACGCCAATTTCTAGCCACCACACCAAGCCCCACCCATCCATCATCACTAAGATGCATCACAATTAAGCTTGAAGATCCCTTTTGGAGGGGCAACCCAAGTTTTGGGGCTGCTGCTGCCCTTAGCTCGCACCACACTATAGATTTTCTCCATATTTGATATGCATTCACTCGCATGACGCTGCACTCTATCCACGATCACAGGGTGATAAGTTTCAATCCCTTGGAACATTTTCTCGTTTCTTCTTCTCCACAAATACCACATTATTATGGCGCCCCTGCATCTTTTCTTCGAGCTTTGCTTGCTCCACTCTTCAAAGAAATCCAGAGAGGATACCTCTTGCGGCCAAACAGCAAGTTCCTGACAATCACAATCCATCCAAAGATCCTTTACGGTGGGGCATTCAAAGAAAATGTGCTTGATTGTTTTAGGGCAGTCATGGCACCATGGGCAATTCTCAACATCGGACATATGACGGTACTTGAGGTAGCTTCGAACCGGCAAAGTACCTGTACAAATTCTCCAGAGGAAATGACGCACCTTTGGAGTGACTTCTAGCTTCCAAATGTCCACCCATGTTTTGTGAAAGTTGTCTAGATTACACGACTTTCCTAACATGTATGCGGTTTTAACCGAGTAGAAACCGTCCATAGAGAAAGCCTAACAAACTGAGTTTGCGGAGCTGTGAGAACTCAAAGGGATAGAGAGTATACTACGAGCATCAATTTCATTAAAATTATCGGAGATAGTGGCTACCTTCCATTCTCGACTATCATGATCGATCAAATCTGCTACCTTCTCAAGGCCTTCCATTCTTGGGGAGGAAATGAACCTGCTAGTGCCGCTATCAATCCACGGATCACACCATATGTCGACACCCATACCATTGCCAATGCGACACAAGAGACCCTCCTTTAGCAAAGCCTTTGAGGACCAAATGCTTTGCCAAGAATAGATGCCGCCATATCCCAAGCTCGACTCCGAAAAGTTGCAATTCGCATAATATTTAGCACCTATGACTCTAGTAAGAAGTGAGCTTAAAAATTTAGTTAAACGCCAAGCTTTCCTTCCTAGGAGCGCGACATTAAACACATGCAAATCCCTGAACCCCAAGCCTCCCAAACATTTCGGAGTGCATAAGTCTCCCCATTTCTTCTAATGAACCTTGCGGTCTTCTTCAGTGCTTCCCCATAGAAATCTTGCCATCATAGAGTGAATGTCATGAATGACACTATGCGACAATCTGTAGACTCCCATGAGACAAGTGGGAATTGCTTGAATCACAGATTTTAGGAGCACTTCTTTTCCGACCCGAGAGAGTGACCTTTCCTTCCACCCATTAAGTTTCTTCTAGATTCTATCTTTAAGAGCCATAAAAACCATCCTCTTCGATCTTCCAATGATGGTGGGAATACCAAGATATTTTCCATGAGTATCTACTCTTCTCATTGCCAAAATCTCAACTAATTCCTCTTGCGTCAACGTACTAACACCCTTACTAAAAGAGACCTCCGATTTGTCATAGTTAATTTTCTGTCCGGGATCTGCTTCATATGTGTTGAGAGTTTCAACAATTTTCGAGCATTCCTTTCGGTTTGCTCTTGAAAAAAGAAGACTGTCGTCAGCAAAGAGTAAATGAGAAACTTCAAGGCCTTTCCGACTAGCTCTAGCACCGTGAATGGAACCTTCACCCATAGCTTTTCATATAAGACCAGAAAAAGCATCAGCAACAAGAATAAAAAGATACGGAGATAGAAGGTCTCCTTGCCGTAGACCCTGGGAAGGAGTGACCAAACCACATACCCCACCATTGACAATAAACGAATAAGAAACCGAAGTAACAAAATCCATTACTGTCGATACCCATCTTCCTGCAAAACCCATTTTCAGAAGGAGTTTTTCAAGAAAATTCCATTTTACTCTGTCGTAAGCTTTGCTCATATCTAATTTCATCGAGACCAATCCTTTCTTCCCCTTACACCTCGTTTTCATAGTATGAAAAAGCTCCAGAGCAACTAAAGCATTGTCTGTAATTAATCGACCCGGAACAAATGCACTTTGATTTTCTGAAACTACTCCAAGGAGAATATTCTTGAGCCGCATTACAATAGCTTTAGAGGCTATTTTATACAAAACATTACACAGAGCAATTGGTCTAAATTTAAACATTGAGGTAGGGGAATTAGTTTTCGGGATAAGAGCAATGTTTGTACTATTTACAGAGCTAATAGAGTTATTTCCCTATAAGATATTACTAACAAAATGAGAGACATCATCGCCAACAATCCAAAATTTATGAAAAAATATAGCATGCATACCATCCGGTCCCGCAGCTTTACAAGGGTACATTTGATTGAGGGTTGTAAAGATTTCCTCCTTCGAAAATGGACGAAGCAATTTTTCATTAATCTCCGGAGAAATAACATAATCCACCGCACTAAGGACTTTTTCACATGCCTCCTGTGATGGGGTTTCGGCTGTAAAGAGTTGATGATAAAATTTTTGCACAATTTCTTCAAGTTGATCTTCATCTTCCCTCCAAACCCCATTGCAATCAAAAGGACCCTTGATCTCATTCTTCTTTTTGCGTTGCGAGGCTTTGTGATAGAAATACTTCGTATTCCTATCTCCATTTTTAATTTCGGACGCCCTAGAAC